CCCGCAGGACGCGGATGGTGTGTACTTCCAAGCGGCCGGGTACTCCGCCAACGCGGGATCCAACCTCACCTCCGTAGCAGAGAGCTACTGCGGGGCGGTGGCGGCCGCTGGGCAGTACCAGCAACAACACCTTTACGGGCAGGAGCAGCCCGGCTACTTGCCCTGCGTTTACAGCAATCTCTCGCCTTCCTTAAACGAGGACAAAGAGCCTGCGTGCCCCTCCGAGCCGTGCCCCAACGCCAGCGCCACGCAGACCTTCGACTGGATGAAAGTGAAGAGGAACCCACCCAAGACAGGTGAGTTTGGGGGGCGCAGAGCTGGGCGAGGACGGTCCCCGTCCAGGGGAGGAGGGAGGCAGGGGGCAGCTCTCCGGCCCCGCAAGGAGAGCTTGCCTTCCCCGGGGCATGTACCCAAGGCAACTGGGCTTATCTTCCAGGGGAGCACGGATTTATTTTGCTTTGGGTTGTTTTTTTTTTTGTGTGGGGTGGTTTGTTGTTTTTTTTTTTTTAAACACCAGCTCAGCGCTACGGAAAAGCCAGCTAGAGATTTTCCAGACACATCTGATGGAGTGTCCCTGAGTTCAGTTTCCCGCAGGCCCAATGCTATTTAAGACCAGCTCGGAACAGGAAAGGCTCCGGGCTTCCTGCTTCTTCCACAGTCGTGGCTTCCATCTCCCCTATTGTTCAACTTCCTTCTCCACAATCTTCCCCAAATCCCAGTCTTCCCTCCTTCCTCATCATCACCCTCGCCCTCCCCTTTCACTCCTTCCCACGCACGTTCAAGTCTCATGGCAGCTCGCAGGGGATGGGGGGGCAATGGTTGCGAGGGAGGGGGGCAGCTCTGAGGAGCGCGGAGTGGTCTGTCCCCCCAGGCTGTGTCCCTGGGCGGGGAAGCCGAGGGCAGCTGAGGAGCCGGGAGGGACTACGAAGCTCCGGGCGGTGGAGGGACCAAGGAGAGGCGGGGAGCAGGGGAAAGCCCGCACCCACAGCCCCCTCCCCGTCCCAGGGGGGGAATTGCTCTGGC